ATCTCCTGGTGATTGGCCCAAAGTCACCTAGTTGCTTTCATGCCTGAGGCAGGACTAGAACTCACCGTCTCCTGGTGATGGGCCCAATGTCACCCAGCTGTCATTGGTGTCTAAGGCCGGACTAGAACTCACCCTCTCCTGGTGATTGGCCCAAAGTCACCCAGCCAGCATTCCTGGCTAAAGCAGGACTAGAACTCACAAACTCCCGCTTTCGGGCCTGGTGCCTTAACCACCACCCCCAGACCCAGCTGAGTAAGAGGAGGGTGTGTGTGTGTGAAAGGCCCGTCGACTCTGAGTTTGACCTCAGTGCTGAGGGCAGAGACGGCCGGCCGGCCGTCCTCCCTGCCTGCCAGGCCGGAGAAGCGGAGCCCTTGACCGCCGTCCCTCTCCCCCCCCTTCCCCAGAGAGAAGCCCAGGTGAAGTTCCACGTCTTGCTGACCTCCTACGAGCTGGTCACCATCGACCAGGCGGCCTTGGCCTCCATCCGGTGGGCCTGCCTTGTGGTGGACGAAGCCCACCGGCTCAAAAACAACCAGTCCAAGGTGAGGGCCGCGGCTTGGCGGTGGGCCGAGGGGGGGGAGGAGGAGGAAGAGGAGGAGGAGGAGTAAAGATGGCCGCCGGCCCTTCACCGTCTCCCCGTTCTCGGTTTCAGTTCTTCCGGGTGCTCAACGGTTACAAAATCGACCACAAGCTGCTGCTGACGGGGACGCCCTTGCAGAACAACCTGGAGGAGCTCTTCCACCTGCTCAACTTCCTCACCCCGGAGAGGTTCAAGTACGCCGCCCTTCCTTCCTTCCTTCCTTCCCCCTGGCTTTTGGAGGCCGTGGATGATGGGCCCGGGAGTGTTGGCTCTGGCGCTCTTTTCAGTGGGATGGTTTGCTCCTCCGGTGCTTTTCCCCTGGGATCCAGTAGTCCAGAGGTCTTCCAACTCGGCCCTTTGATGACTTCTGGACTACAACTCCCAGAGTTCCTCAGCCAGCGTGAGGGAACTAGGATCCTTTGATGACTTGTGGCTGAGGAATTCTGGGAGTTGAAGTCCACAAGCAGGGGTCTTCCAACTCAGCCCTTTGATGACTGGTGGACTTCAACTCCCAGAATTCCTCAACCAACGTGAGGGAATTAGGACCCTTTGATGACTTGAGGACTTCAACTCCCAGAATTGCTCAGCCAGCGTGAGGGAACTATGACCCTTTTATGACTGGTGGACTTCAACTCCCAGAATTCCTGAGCCAGCATGGGGGAACTATGGCTCCCTTGATGACTTCTGGACTTCAACTCCCAGAATTCCTCAGCCAGCGTGAGGGAACTATGACCCTTTTACAACTCGTGGACTTCAACTCCCAGAATTCCTCAGCCAGCGTGAGGGAACTATGACCCTTTGATGACTGGTGGACTTCAACTCCCAGAATTCCTCAGCCAGCGTGAGGGAACTAGGACCTTTTGAAGACTTGTGGACTTCAATTCCCAGAATTCCTCAGCCGGCGTGAGGGAACTAGGACCCTTTGATGACTGGTGGACTTCGACTCCCAGAATTCCTCAGCCGGCGTGCCCAGCTGAGGAATTCTGGGAGTCGAAGTCCACCAGTCATCAAAGGGCCGAGTTGGAAGACCCTTGCAGTAGTCCATCAACTTGGAAACAGTGACGTTTCCGCCTAACCCAGTGGTCTTCCAACTTGGCAACTTTAAGACTTGTGGACTTCAGCTCCCAGAATTCCCCAGCCGATGAGGCTGGGGAATTAATAACAGAATTGGAAGGCACCTTAGAGGTCCTCTAGTCCAACCCCTGCTTGAGCAGGAGATATCTAGGTTGGATATCCCTGTATCCTAGAGCAGGGGTCCCCAACCCCCCGGTCCGTGTACCAGTACCGGGTTGCGGCAAGCCAGCAACCGGGCCTCACAAACAAGCAAAGCCCCATCCGCGGGATGCAGGCAGCACACAAAACCACGCAATTTTGCCACACACAAAACCTTTCTCCACGGAACCGGTGGTCCCTGGTGCCCAAAAGGTCGGGGGCCTCTGCCCTAGAGGAAGCAGGGGTGTTCTTGCCGAGAAACCCACCTGGATACCTTTGCAACACCTGAAGGGTACCTGCAAGAGCCACCTCCTGAGTAGTGTCACCCTGGCTTGTGTGCAATGCAACACGGAGGTCTAGTTGGGAAAACTTAACAGTTGTTTTCTCTGCTTGACAAAGTTTTGTGCCTGGCCAAAGGGCTCCCTCTCTTGGCCAGACCGGGTATTGCCAACATTCTGGTTTTTTTTCCCCCCTTCCACTCGCCTTGTCATGTTGATAGTCCTGAAGATCCATTTTTTTTTTCCCTCTTGGGAGGTTGAGGGATGAGGACCCCTCCCGTCCCACCGATGGAGGCATTGCAGCAATTTGCTCAAAAACCCACAAAAAAGAAAGTAAAATTCAGAGCATGACTTGCTTAAGAACCGCCTTGCTTACTCAAGCAACCTAGAACAGTGGTTCTCAACCTTTTTAATGCCGCGACCCCAACCAGTCGTAAGTCGAGGATTAAACCCGATCGTAAGTCGAGGACTAAACCGGTCGTAAGTCGAGGACTTTCCCTGGCCGGGAGTGCCGCGCATGCGTGGTTCCGCCCCCTGCGCCGGCCGAGGCGTAGCTGGCAAGCGGCAGAGACGGAGCAGGCCGACCACCAGCTGGCCCAGCCCAAGGGAGGTAAGGCACCCGCCGGAAAAGGGGGAAAAAATGGCGGACAAAAAAAATGGCGGACAAAAAAATGGCGGACAGCCTTGCTTGGCGACCCCCGTGAAATGGTCGATCGACCCCAAATGGGGTCCCGACCCATAGGTTGAGAACCACTGACCTAGAACTAAGGAGAAACAACTTCCTGACGGTGATCTGGAGACCTGGAGGCTGGAGGCTGGATGTTGGACTTGGTTGGGCTTTGACCTGGCTCACCAACTTACCATCTTACCAACTCCACGAGGATTGTTTCCACCCCCCCTCACCCCTTTTTTGGTTTTTCACAGCCGGACTTGTTGCTACCGAATGATCCACAGGACGGTTCTGCTGGCTCTGCGCGACTCCCCCGCCGCGCAGACCTGGCCCAGTACACTCTCAAGGGCCCACCTTGATGAAGGGGTGTGGAGCCCCGAGAGGTGGTGTGCAGCAGTAATTAGTGGGAAAAAACCCA